CTTTCCCTCTCTGTCTCGCCATCGCGCGACCGCGGTCGCGTCCAAGGAACGCTGCGTGAGCGCGCGTGCACGCGCAAATTCCAGGCGTGTGTGCGTGCACGCACCGCGTACGCGGTTGTCCCTCTTTGGCCGCTGCGCGTTCTCCTGTTTACCGAGAAACCGCGATATTTACGCGAGAGCTGGGGCTGTGCGGAGGTGCAACGAGCCGCGGGCGGGTGCGGGAAAGCGGAGAAAGAGGAAAAACGGGCGGCGAGCGAAGAAAGCGGCGACGAATCGAAGGGGGAGCCGGGCTGGGGCGACGGGGCGAGAGAGAGAGGGCGATGAGAGAGCAAGGGAGAACGGGCGTGGAGGGTGGCGGAGAGCCGATGGAGGGTTGCGAAGGAGAGAGAAAGAAACAGGGTGAAAAGTAGACGGTGCAGCCGGGAAGGGGTTCGCCCTTTCTCCCTTTCTCTCGCTACTTTTCTCTGGCGGGACAGAGAGGGCTCGCGGGAGAGAGAGAGAGAGAGAGAGAGAGAGAGAGAGAGAGATAGGGTGAAAGGGAGAGAACGAGAGATATGGAATTAAGGGGACACACCCCTATCTTTCGAGCGTACGCTTATCGAATGCACCGACAACTACGCTTTTCCTCGTTCGCTCACCAAGACGGTTCTGTCATGCGAGGCAGCCAGGTAGGTTGGTAGGTAAGCTAGGTAGGTTGGTGGGAATGCGCGTACAAGGGAATTAGACCATAATCGTCCACGCGTGTGCCGCGCGAAGGGGACGTTTTCCGCCTGCCTCGGACCTCGATGTTCACTCGCGCGGCGGGGATCTGCTTGCTCTCCGAGTGTGCACCTTACGACCTCCGACCACCTACTCCCACTTCTCCCCCTCTTCTCTTTTTCTTTCTTTCCTTCTTCCTTCCCCCTTTCTCTATTTTCTTACCTTCCTTTTCTTCTTTCTCCCCTTTCTTTCCCTTTTCTTGTTCTTCCTTTCCTTTTCCATTCTTCTACCCCTTTCTATTCTTCTCGCTGGCTTCTTTACCTTCTTTCTTCCTCCCTTTATTTCTGCCCCTTGCATCTTTATTTTTATCCCGCCTTTTCTTTTTCCTGCTCCTTCAACTCCTATTTCTGTCCTCCCTTTGCTAGCTTTTGTTCTTTTCTTATTTCTGTCCTCCATTTTCTTCTTTCTATTCTTCGTTTTGTTGACTCTGCTTTTCTTTTTCTTTTTTCTCTTCCTTTTTTCATTCTTCTGATTGTCTTATCTTCCCTTCCTTCTTCCTCTCTTTATTTCTGTCCCTTGCATCTTTATTTTTATCCCTTCTTTTCTTTGTTCTGCTTTTTCAACCCCTATTTCTGTCCTCCCTTTGCTACCTTCTGTTCTTTTCTTATTTCTGTTCTCCATTTTCTTCTCCCTACCCCTCGTTTTGTTCTCTCTGCTCTTTCTTTTCTTCTTTCTCTTCCTTTTCTTTTCTCTGCCTCTTTCTACTATCTCGCTGTCTTATTTTTCCTTCTTTCTTCCTCTCTTTATTTCTGTCATTTGCATGTTTATTTTTATCCCTCCTTTTGTTTTTCTTGCTCCTTCAACCCCTATTTCTATCCTCCCTTTGCTATCTTCGGTTCTTTTCTTATTTCTGTCCTACCTCTGCTATCTTCGGTTCTTTTCTTATTTCTGTCCTCCATTTTCTTCCTCCTATCCTTCATTTTGTTCTCTCTGCCCCTCCTTTTCTTCTTTCTTCACTTTCTTTCCTTTTTCTTGTCCTTCCTTTCCTTTTCTATTCTTCTCGCGGTCTTATCTTCCCCTCTTTCTTCCTCTCTTTATTTCTTCTCTTTGCATCTTTATTTTTGTCCCTCCTTTTCTTTCTTCTGCTCTTTCAACTCCTTTTTCTATCCTCTCTTTGCTACCTTCTGTTCTTTTCTTATTTCTGTCCTCCATTTTCTTCTTTCTATTCTTCGTTTTATTTTCTCTGCCCCTTTCTTTACTTCTTGCTATCTTATCTTCCCTGCTTTCTTCTTTCTATTTTTGATCTCGCTTTGCTTATTCCATTTTGTTGTTTCGTTCCATCACGAAATAGAAGTAGTCGATCTTCGAGTATTAAGTTAGATCGGTTGCTGGCCCGTGAAGGGTGGTCGCGAAATTTCAGGGAGAGAGTCGTACGAGTCGAGGGATGAACGGCAGGTGATCAGGAGGAAATGGCTTTCTTGAGTCTCGCCTGTTTTTAGTTCCGCGAGAGGGTGAGAAGTGTTTTCCTAGATCTACCGCGCCGAGTTCTGGCTACTTTTTCGCCCGGGTTAAATTTGTTTCCCGTGTTTTCTTCCTCAGACTCCCTTGGCGAGTCGAGATCCGAAACTTTCCCCGTCTTCCTTATCTTTTTCTCCTTTGGACGTTGCCATAGTAAATAGCAACTCCGGAAGAGATATAATCGCGGAATTATGAATAAGAAATGGACTTTAAAGACTTCTTTTAAAAACTGAGCTTTGGAGGTTAGGAATATTCAAAGTACTTCTCTGTGAATTATAATGTAAGAATAATCTCAATAATTATAATCGAGTCGCTAAAATTTTACTTTTCAACCAACTGCGTTTATTTTTAAGTTCTGCCATTTTTATTCACGTTTGACGCACTTTAAGAACGTACTTTATGGTGTAATATAATTTTTAGTAATAGAGAATTGTGCTTTATACTGTTTCTGATTTGTCCTATTGTACTGCGAACGAAAGATTTGATCGTGAAATTGAAAATCTTCCCGCGACGCGCAGATGCAAGTGTAATAGCCACGGTGGGTTTACTACTAGCGCCATCTGCGCCTCTGCTTCGAAAGCAGCGATTCTTTCTCCCCGGTGGTAACGCAGGTCCCTGCATTGAGCGGCCGTCGACAAGAATCGATCGCGCTCTTTAATTAAAAAAAACGAATAAATCCCACTTTCCCTTTTTCGTATCCGCGTCGTTACTCTCAAATCTACTCTCCTTTTATTTCTACCCAATCACCTGCCGACCACAAAAGCTGCGAATAAACTTCCCTTGTCATTTTACCGATCGCGTAGCGCTGTCCTCTTTTCTCTCGCACCGGAAGCTAAAGTCGCCGACACTACCTTCCGAGATCCGACATCCGCCATTTCGCAGCATCTCTCTACTCATTTTTCTTCCTGACGTACCATAAAAGTAAAAAAAAAAAAAAAAAGAATCACCCACCTTCCCCTTCCCCTTCGCTTTGACCTTCCCTAAATAAAACCGCCAACGAAAACGAGAATAGCCAAATGTGAGAGGTTAGGAAACAAAAGACGAAAGTTAAAAAACAACTCCGGAAGTAGCACGACTCCCAGGATCGATTTATCGATCGAGGATATCGATAAACGAGAAATCAACTATGGCTATAGATATCGTTCGAAGTTATTATTTCGCGGTCGAAAAGGAGTAACGAGCAGCGAAAGGTGAAATAGAGGAGTTAGATAAAGAGGAGAAATATAAACACGACGAGTAAGAGAGAAGAGACTATACCGGGTTTAACGGGCGAATGGTAACGAAAATAGAAAACGAGATGTCGCGATCGGTTAAAGCGGCGATGAATTTCGAGCGCGGCGGTGCCGCGGGGCAATTCGCCCGTTCCAATTATCCCCGGTGATGTCTCGTTAATACCCATCGAGTGGATCGAACGTCTATCAGGCCCGCGGGCGGCCATCTCCGACCATCTTTCGCCCCGGAATAATCTAAAACGTTTTGTCGTCGGGAATCTAATCTAATACCGTTGGCCCTGGAAGGTTATACTTTTATTGGCGCGTCTATTGGGCTTAACGAGGTCAATTGAGGTGATACGGTTGCCTTGATTTTACGATAGTCCATCGCCGGCACGATAACGATCCGAAAGGCTGCCGGGGACCGCGATCTCGCGGTTTTAAATCGCCGCGAGATCGAACGAGAGATCGATCGCGCGTGCGGACGATCGATTGCCCAGGCTGCCCCCGCCGTTTTATACTAATGAGATTTCTATCGTGTTTCAGCACCTGTACCACCTACAGACTGGCGAGGGTGCGTTCAGGGAGAGGGGCAGAGGACGGGGCAAGGGTGCGACCAGGGTAAGTGCTGCGTATTTATTTATTCATTTATTTATTTATTTATTTATTCATTTATTTATTTATTTATTCATTCATTTATTTATTTATTTATTCATTCATTTATTTATTCATTTATTTACTTATTTATTTATTTATTTATTAATTTCGTTTCTGTATGGGTGTATGTATACTCATAGATTAGAGCGACTAATTTTTCATTTTGTAACGCATTTAAATATTCGCTCCAAAATATTTTTTCTCTTCCTGTTTCTTGATGTATACGTTTGTGTATTTAACCATTCAAGGCCGGCGAGTACGTAACGTCTAAATTGTGCGATGCTATAGAAATAGCTAATTAGTCATCGTAAATAATCGTGATACGACAAAAAATCATTTTCAGTCATTCGAGTATTTTTAGTGGCGCAGTTAATAACCTAATTCCCGAACGATACTAAAATTCGTACTTTTTTTTGTTGCAATTTCCCAATTTGCCTGAAATTTTGTCGCTTTTTTCTTTTTATGTATCAGCAAATATTGGCTCCTTTTTGTATTCTTTCATCATACATAGGTTATGTTTCGTTACGTTTAGGTATAGGTTATGTATTCGAATCTTTGGGTTATAGGATATAATCAGTTCCGTTCGATTTTCTTTTTTCTCTCCTTTTTTAATTTAATTTCGGATATTCGTTTCAGTTTTATTTAATTTTTTCTATATTCTCGTTACATCTTCATCTTGCTTCTTCCCTTATCTTCGATTTCATTCGATTCTTCGTATTTTTGTACGTTTCGCATATTTTGCTTCGATCTCTCGCTCATATTTTGATTCACCTTGCTTCTTCTCGTTTTCAATTTCATATCTGGTTCCTCGATTATACGATGCATGTTTTTCTTTCACCGTTTCTCAATTCTCGATCTTGTTTCCGATTCCGGCAATTTTTCCTTTTCCCTCCATCTCTTTCGCATATTTCGTCTTAGTTTTGCAGAAGTGGCAGGATTTTGTGTCACGACGAGTATACTCGTCGTGCGTAGAAAGTAGCGACCGTTGGCTATTTAAATTGCAATTTTTGTGAAAAATAAGACATATTCTCAAATTTCAAGATGTTTAGAATATTATGAGTCATGACACAAAACCCTGCCACTTTTGCATGACGAGTATACTCGTTAATCACAGCCAACTGGTTAAGACGTAGAATTATTTTACTTCGTTATTCCACGCATCGTTGGCTAATTGTAAATCTGATATATTAATTAACATCCATCTTTAGAATCTGATTAAATGGCGACTGAGAGACGCCTCTCCACCAGTGCAAAGGGTTAATGTATCAAATTTAAAATAACGTAACAGTGTGCGAGGTATCGAAATTAAATAAATCTACGTCTTAATTTCCACACGATTTCTTATTTACCGTTTTAAAAATATCCTCCACTTTATGGTAAATAAAAGAAAGTCTTCGAATTACTATTTTCCTGTAACAGAAAAATCGTCGAGTCGAGTGCAAAGGGTTAACCACTCGCGCTGGAAAGACGTGCAAGGCACGTCGTAATGCTTTTGTCGCAGAATCGCCAACGACGTGGTACACACGTCGTCAGGCAATTGTCACAGAAACACTGGACCGTTCTGGTACACGCGTCTGCGAATTTCTTGCCAGCGCGAGTGGTTAATCAGTTTCAAAGAGGTTTCGAAATTTGCAGCGACTCTTCGGGAACGGTGGAAACACAGTTGGGAAGTGTTGGGGTACGAGGATGTAAGAGGAGAAAATAAACGCAGAATTTTGTCACGAAAGCTTTGGATTTCTTCGTGAATTCTTTGTCCACGAACGATGCGATTGTACCGTAAGAGTGAGGTTAGGTTTCGGATAGAAAAGCTGTAGGAGCGCGTAGGATTTTCACGAGTCGTCGTCTGGTAGCTGTTTCTTGTCTTTATCGTTAATGTTCAACTCGTTTTTTGATTTACCTTATTCCATTTTTTCCCAATTTTGGATCTCGTTTTCTCATTTCATCTATCACCTTCTTCCCCTTGCTTGATCCTCGAATTGGATCTCTTCGTTTTCTACATTCGTTGGTCTTCTTCACCCGCCCCCCTTCCCTGTGCCCCTACTTCCCCTGCACCCGCGCCTTTTTCCACGGTATTTCTTTTCCACGAGCACTCCTCTTTTTCCAGCGCACTCGGCTCGCCACTTACCCGTCACGTTTCTAATTCCAGAAACGTGGTAACGCGCGAGTAAACGGCCCCGTGTTTGCCTCCACTCGAAAACCGCTCTCAACCCTCGCGAATCGCGCAAGACCCGCCGAGGCCAGGTCGCTGCTCGATCCCCCGATCGAGTTCCTACGGTGTATCGATTTTAATTCGCACTTGTTTCTTCTCCGATCGGCTGTGCAATGACTCACCAGCGAGTGTCGCACTTCGTGCGATTGCTACCGTTTTATGATTCCAGTTGCAGGAATTCTTGTTAACCTTCTGCACCGCGACCACGAGTCTAGCTCGCCGCGAGTCCTTCGTGTCGAATCTTCGCGATTAAGTGCTATTACGACGCGAGCGAAATTGCATTCGAGATATTGCAACGCGTCCGAGAAGATTTCGAAATTTTACGAAATTTTTGCATCGTTTTTATTTATTTATTTATTTATTTATTTATTTATTGGAACTTAGGGTTAACAACGTCCATTTTAGTAAAGTTATAATTAGTGAGAATGTGTGTCGTTCTTGAGGAATTAAGAAAATTATTTCGGGCTAAGTTAGGTTAGGTTAGGTTAGGTTCCAAAATTTTTGCATCGTTTTTATTTATTTATTTATTTATTGGAACTTACGGGTTAACAACGTCCTTTTTAATAAAGTTATAATTAGTGAGAATGTGTGTCATTCTTGAGGAATTAAGAAAATTATTTCCGGCTAAGTTAGATTAGGTTAGGTTAGATTCCAAAATTTTTGCATCGTTTTGAAATTTACGGGCTGACAACGTCCTTTTTAGTAAAGTCATAATTAGTGAGAATGTGTGTCGTTCTTGAAGAATTGAGGAAATTATTTCGGGCTAAGTTAGGTTAGGTTAGGTTAGATTCCAAAATTTTTGCATCGTTTTTATTTATTTATTTAATCGAACTTACGGGTTAACAAAGCCCCTTTCAGTAAAGTAATAATTAATGAGAATGTATGTCGTTCTTGAAGAATTAAGAAAATTATTTCGAGTTAGGTTAGGTTAGGTTCCAAAATTTTTGCATCGTTTTTATTTATTTATTTATTTATTGGAACTTACGGGCTGACAACGTCCTTTTTAGTAAAGTTATAATTAGTGAGAATGTGTGTCGTTCTTGAAGAATTAAGAAAATTATTTCGAGCTAAGTTAGGTTAGGTTAAGTTAGGTTCCAAAATTTTTGCATCGTTTTTATTTATTGAAATTTACAGGCTAACAAAGCCCATTTTAGTAAAGTGATATAAAATATGCACACATAAAATAGGAAGAGCTGTACAGCAGACAATAACAAATTTTATCGTAAATAAGGTATGTATATACGACTTACAGTGGTTAAACGAAATTAAGTATATTTTCGAGGCATAATTCTTCGCGATTAATTAAAGTAACGAATATTATGGTGTTAGTGAGAATGTGTGTCGTTCTTAAGGAATTGAAAGAATTCTTACGAGTTAGGTTAAGTTAGGTTAGGTTAGATCATATTCGAAAATATTTTATCGTTTTTATTCATTTCAAAAATGCAAAATCCCTTCGAAAAATGATCAAAATTCGCGAATAATTCTCGGAAACGAATTTTCACCGCGAAAATTCCCTTTTCAGGAAAAAAACCTCGCTTATCGAAACATCCTCTGGCGATCCTCGTTCGTCAAATTATTCCACCGATTCGTGGTACATTATTTCCATCCGAGTGGAAACGACGAAAGGACAAAATGGCCAACGCGAAGTTCCTCGGAGCTTACGTTGGCCCACGATTTTTCATTAGCACACGTGCGTTCTGCACCGGTTCTTCCTTCTCTCTCTCTCTCTCTCTCTCTCTCTCTCTCTCTCTCTCTCTCTCTCTTTCCCCCCCACCCACTCTTTTCTCTCTCGCTCTCCCTGTGTTACACACGACATAACTCGGGACACTTTCTTCTCCTTACATCTCTCTCTCTCTCTCTCTCTCTCTCTCTCTCTCTCTCTCTCTCCCCCTCTCTGTGTTACACACGACATAACTCGGAACACTTTCTTCTCTCTCCCTATCTCTCCCTGTCTCTCTCTGTGTCTCTGTCTGTGTATGTGGATGTGCGTGTGTGTGTGTGTCTCTCTCTCTCTCTCTCTCTCTCTGTCTCTCTCTGTCTCTCTCTGTCTCTCTCTGTCTCTCCCTGTCTCTCTCTGTGTCTCTGTCTGTGTGTGTGGATGTGTGTGTGTGTGTGTCTCTCTCTCTCTGTCTCTGTCTGTGTGTGTGAGTGTGTGTGTCTCTCTCTCTGTCTTTATCTCTCTCTATTTATCTCTGTTTCTTTCTCTCTCTCTCTCTCTCTCTCTCTCCCTCTCTCTCTCTCTCTCTCTCTCTCTGTGTTACACACGACATAACTCGGTACACGTGAAGGTACTCGAGTGTAGTTGGAGAGGGACGGGAAAATCGCGGCGTTATACGTACGTGTAAGGGAAAAACAGCGTGTGGTCGAACCGAACGCTACGTTATGTTTGCTTTGCAGCTGCGTGAACAGTGGCGGCGGTTTTTAAACAAAACCGCGGCGGCCGCTCGGGGGTGGCTAATGCGAGGAAATTTGATTGTCTTGGCCGGCGCCCGCACGAATTTTCCCACCTTCGCCGGGAGTCGCAGTGCAAACATAGACCCTGCTCGAGGGACGGTAATTTTGCATAAATCGTGGAAATTTGAGCGGATAGACGGGCACCGAGGAAACGCTAAGTTCCGCGATGATCAGAGGGGAATAATTGGGGAAATAATTTGAAGCGAATGATGGTTCGGTAGGGTTGATAAAAGTGCAAGGATAATATAGTAGTAACGTAGTAGTGAGGATAATACTGCGACTTGGGTTATAGAAATAGCCT